TCATTTTATTTATGCAATCTTTAACTCTTGTTAGCTGCTGGTTTCACTCACAAAGATAATGTCGCAGGATGATATTAAATCACATTATTTAACTACAAGAAACTGAAAAAAACTGCCTTATTAAAATAAGCAGTCATGTGCAGGAAACTAAGACTAAACAGGAAAAAGGGAAATTACTTTCTGCTATTTCCTTTGCTCTTTGCCTTTCTTCTTGGAATTGGTATGTTTTCAGTGCCTGTCTTACCATTTGTCAACAAGATTAAAGAAAACTAACAAGCAAGATTTCATAAAATTGGGCGGAGAGGTAAAGGATAAGGAATAAGGATAAGGAGAATAAGGAGTGAATCAACATATTAAGAAATGGGGCAGTTTTTGCACATAGTTTCCTTGGGGATTATTAAAGTAATCTGATTATCTATCAAAGGAAAAATGACAACTCATTACATTTTGGTGGTGATCTGAATAGTAAACTGTAGAGTATATACTGTTTAGATGTTTTTACCTTCTCAGAGAGTTGTTTTCCTTGTTCACGAGGCCAAAAACCTAACTATACATAGATATACAATCAGAGACAAACATAAGAGAAAAAGGGGGAAACACTGTGAAGGAACACACTATCTCAGCTCTCTGTCCTGGTGCTGGCAAACCTTTGCTAAGCTTTAATACACCTGACTGCTGCCTGGTTACAGCCAACACCCATGCCAGGCCTTACCCATACTTTTCATGCTCACTTTCCCAAACTCTCCACTACACAACTGGAGAAGAATCACCTCCATATGTGCAACACATGCTCATCACAGAGAACAAGGCTTTGTTCGTCTTTCACACTTTCAGCTCTATTTGTCCTTTGTACTCAGATCTCTTTCTTTTCGCCCTTTGTTCGTTGTCTTGCTGTGAGTTTGCAGGAACATGGAACAATGTGTCGTTGCTTTACTGAGACAAAATGCAAGGAGTTGAGGAGATTGGACAAGAAGGTGGAGAAAATATGGAAGCAGACAGAATGAATACGTGATCATGTTTCGTTTTTTAGCTTTATAAAACGACTGCTCTGTGTTTCATTTGTTTTTAGTGACTCCTGTGTACTTACTTCTCAAGTAAATCACATTTTGCTTCTTTGCCAGATTTCAGAGTTTGGCCTCCACACTCTGACACTTCCTTCTGCAGTTCTTTAGCTATAAGCACTACTCACATTCTCCAACATTCTTGGTTCCAGTACCTTGTCATCGGCACCTACTCATTATATGCTTCAGACCCATAAAACCCTCAGACAAGCTAACACTACTGCTAGCTAACAGCCAGGATTTAATGCACTTCAAGGTCAATTGTTGTAATGTACACACAAGTTGATAAACGGCATTTTCTTAAACTTAAAAAGATCTCTGGGATTTTTTTTAAATGCTCATTATCCTTCCCAACCCCTGCTCTCTGTTTTCCCTCCAAAGCTTGCTAATGAATTTTTGGAGTGCTGAACTCAGATTGCAGGTTCCAAGACGATCCATGTGCACTTCTCCTTCCAGCTTTGTTCTTATAAAGCTTTTATTTAATTACAATTGGAGTTTCGCACGCATGTATTAGAAGAGATTAGAAAAAAAGAGAACT